ACTTTTTTTTTTTTTTTTTTTGGTTGTAGTTGTCATTGTTGTTTGGCAGGCCCGGGTTGGATTCAAACCTGCCAGCACTGGTGTATGTGGCTGGCGCCTTAGCCACTTGAGCTAGAAGCACCAAGCCTCAGACAGCTCTTAATGTGATAAAGTTTGAAATTCAAACTTATCTGTTTAACCCTGATATTCATCTTTTTCTCCTTCCCTTGGTGGGCCTCTTTTAAAGAGCAGTACAAGGCTCCGTGTGGTGGCTCATACCTGTAATCCTAGCACTCTGGGAGGCCGAGGTGGGTGGATCACCTGAGCTCAGGAGTTGGAGAACAGCCTGAGCAAGAGAGAGATCCTGTCTCTACTAAAAATAGAAAAACTAGCCAGGCGTTGGGGTGGTGGGCGCCTGTAGTCCCAGGCTGTGGCAAGAGGATGGCTTGAGCTCAAGAGACTGTGGTTGTTGTGAGCTATGATGCCACCCATCCTCTCCAGGATGAAAGAGTAAGACTGTCTCAAAACAAAGAAACAGACAAAACAAAGAGCAGTGTAAATAAAATGTACTGGCCAGTGGACCATAGCATCTTTGCACCTTTATGGTACTTGCCCATAGTACCTTCTACTTTGGACTCTCCTCCTCCTACAGGTTTTGTCCTTGAGGCAAGCTCCTACTCACCCTTCAAAACCCACTAAGTCATCACTTTCCCTGAAGTCTGTCTTGACATACTCCTCCCCAGCATCTCTCCCACCCAGGGTAATCATTGCGCTGTTCAGTCAATGCACAGGTGCCCTCCTCCCACAGAGCCAGAGGGCTGCATCTTCTAATCCATTGAGGTGCCTGCACACAGCTGGTCTTCCATAAATGTGCTTGGAACTGAAACTGGAAGAGAGGTCTTAGAACTTTGGTTTTTCTCCATATAAAATGCAGCCTGTGGTCAGCGCCTGTGGCTCAAAGGTGGAGTTGGTGGGTTCAAACCCAGCCCTGGCCAAAAACTGCAAAAATAAATAAATAAGTAAATAAAATGCAGCCTGTGCTGCCCCTGCCTTGAACTCAAAAGATATTGAACCAGGGAAAGGCCCTTCTGAACTTGGGGTGCGGTGGCTCATGCCTGTAATCCCTAGCACCCTGGGAAGCTGAGGCAGGTGGATCACTTGAACTCAGGAGTTCCAGTCCAGCCTGAGCAAGAGCAAGACCCTGTCTCTACTAAAAATAGAAAAATGGATGCAAGAGGATCTCTTGAGCCCAAGAACTTGAGATTGCTGTGAGCTATGTGAGCTATAATGGCACTCTAGTTAGGGAGACAGAGTGAGACTGTTTCAAAAAGCAAGCAAGGGCAGCATCTGTGGCTCAGTGAGTAGGGCACCAGCCCCATATACCGAGGGTGGAGGGTTCAAACCCAACCCCAGCCAAAATGCAACAAAAAAATACCTGGGCGCTGTGGCAGGCGCCTATAGTCCCAGCTATTAGGGAGGCTGAGGCAAGAGAATCACCTAAGCCCAAGAGCTGGAGGTTGTTGTGAGCTGTGACACCACAGCACTCTACTGAGGGCAACAAAAGTGAGACTCTGTCTCTCAAAAAAAAAAAAAAAGAAAGAAAGAAAGAAAGAAAGGGGAAAAAAGCAAGCAAACAAACAAATAAACAAAATTTTCTGAACACCTAGGGTGGAACAGCAGGAAGAGGTGAGGCACTCTCAGCCCACCTAGTGCTGGGTTAGGAAATGGATTTGTCCAGGCTGAGCCTCCTGGACAGACCTCAGGGGCTGCCTAAAAAGAATTCATTCCTTCCAGCTCAGGGCCCGTAGCTCAGTGAGTAGGGCATCAGCCACATACAACAACACTGGCAGGTTTGAGCCCGGCCCAGGCCCACTAAACAACAATGACAACTGCAACAAAAAAAAATAGCTGAGTGTTGTGGCAGACACCTGTAGTCCCAGCTACTCAGAAGGCTGAGGCAAGAGAATCGCTTAAGGCCAAGAGTTTGAGGTTGCCGTGAACTGTGACACTACAACACTCTACTGATGGTGACATATTGAGACTCTGTCTCAAAAAAAAAGAAATTTCCCTCTTTGCTTTCCCCTCAGTTGCATTCCTATAGCAGGCATATCTTGGGGTGTCAGGAAATTGAGGCTGGGAGAAATGAGAGACTTGGGGAGTCCACTCAGCAGCAGAGACAGACAGTGGAGGATGGTTCAGGTAGCAAGAGTGTGCCTGTGGTCTACAGCCAAGTGTTTTAAATGAGTAGGAGATTTCCCCTTTTCTTCAGGAGGCACTTTGAAAAATGTTCTACTGTGGCTCAAGCGGCTAAGGCGCCAGCCACATACACCTAAGGTGGCGGGTTCGAATCCCAGCCCGGCTCACCAAACAACAATGATGG